TTTTTGCCTTCCCTAGCCAGAGTGGTTTCTGCAGTTAGTAACCCAACCCCATCCTCATACACAATTAGTTGAGAAAAGAGGATTCTGGTGAAATTTCCTCCTCAGTTACGAGTACACCGACAGGAACTTGAATCTAGACTTTTGGGAAACATAATGCTGGAGCGTGAAGGAATAAAGAGTACAAACTCATCATGATTCTTGGAAACAGGCATACGAAGTAACTTAAAATGAGAGCACGTATTCATAACGATTTCTTACTTTACACGGGCGACTTGTCCAGTGTCTTCATCAAAAGCTTGAAATTTTCCAATGACTTGGCTTTGGCTCGATCTATCCATGCTCTCACTAACGTGCACGGAGACTGTGCTGCTTTTAAAATGAATGCCTTCTTTCACATTTTTCACCTTTACTTTGATGGGAATGGAGGTAGGCTTGTATTTATTCCTAACTGACTTGTGAAAAGCTGCTTTGTTAGTGACAATAATACTGAAGTCAAGATTCTTCATCTCTTCATAATCTACTTCCTAGAAGGGCAAAATCAAAGGAAATTCTTTTAAGAGAGGAAACATCAACACAAGTAACACATACACACATGTGTGGTTTTTTTCTTTTTTCTTTAGGGTACATGCGCTCGCCAGAAAGGCAGAGAGAGAAAGAGACACACAAAGCGAGAAATCACGCCCCAGGGGGGATGGCCATGGCACAATTCCTTCTCCTCCAGTTAGCGTAATGTCTATGTCGCTAGACTTCCATGTAGTCGACCACGGTTCGCATCCAGGACTCGGTGGCTTAAAACTCACGCCGGGTGTGTGTGCATGCGTGCCCAAGATCCCGAGAGGAGAGTGGAGAAGGGGATTGCGGCGTGGCCATTCCCCCTGGGGGGGTGATTTCTTGCTTTCTGTCTCTCTGTCTCTGTCTGTCTGGTGAGCGCATGCGCCCTATAGCAGAAAACACCTCAAAAAAAAAAAAAAAATTGACCAGAGAGGAAAAAATGAGAAAGCAAGCTGCCTAAGACTCAAACGTAGTCGGCCATGTGGGAGTTCAGTGCCTCTAACCACTGTGCCACCTGCTGGCCCCTTATGATAGAATCTTAAGTGGATTTTTGTTTAAAAGGTAAGTTCCTGAGCCCCACCCAAGCAGATATTTTGAAGATGGGGTCATGCAGCTTTATTGGGTGATTCACAGGCACACTGAAGTATTAAGTTGTCACAGTGCTTGCTTTTAGCGGTTACTAGTGATGTTTGACGTCACTGTGACGTGGAAAATAAGAGGCAGTAATGAGGGGATACTCATGTAGGAAGGGGCATGGTGTGGGAATGGAATCGTCAGGCGTGGACTGTAAGCAAAACTGAAGTATGTGAGGCAATAACTTGGCTGGTACCGTGTGTCTGATCAGAATCTGAACTGCAGTGTGACCACTTACTGGCCACACTACTTGGTTCTGTAGCGATAGCCCCTGTCTCACACAACTCTGGTGCAGTTAACTGAGTCTGTAAAACACTTGTGTTTGGGGCTCAATGTAACGTATTTGATCCTTCTCCAACACCCACCTATCCCGTCCCAGTGTTGAACCCCCAGTACTTACCTTAATAAGGGTCACAATCCCTTCATTAGTCTGCGCATCTGTTTCTATGTGGAAATAACCCCCTTCATTTCCTGACGCAAATGTAAAATTTGCCAACCAATTATCAGAGCCTATTTCATCTGCATCGAACACTTTTATGCGCATGACTTCCACATTAACTTGGTTTTCTTCCACCATCCCTTCGTACTGTTAAAACAGACACACAGGATTTTAGTTTTAATGTAGTGTACAGTTCACTGATATAGTTTTAGTCAGGACTACAATCTGAGCATGCGGGAACATTTATCATAAAAATAACAGTTACCATTTCATCTTCCACCCTAGGGATGTTGTCATTGACATCCAAAACACGAATCTGAACTTGAGCTTGTTTGACTGGCTTATCTGTTATTTGACCGTTGCCGTCTCTTGCTTCTACTATCAAGGAATAGCTGCTGTGTTCCTGCAGAGCAATGAGAAACAGCCAGCTGCGGTGAAAACCAATCACTTCTGGTTTTAGCTCACTTTATCATCAAGACAATGGACCACCGTACATTTAATTCATACATAATTGTCATGATCTGCCGTGATTCATGTGAAGATGCTATTTAGTTGCAATTCGAGCTGTGGTAGAAGGGCAGAGATGCTAGATGAGTTAATGCTCAAGTTCCTAAATATGTCATTGTTCAGAGACGACCCTCACCGTCTCACAGTCTGTGCACAAGTGAGCACTGTGGAGAATGTAGTTAATTCTAACCTGGGAGTGTTGGAGGGACTGAGAGGAATTGGTTCTTTTGTCACACTCTTCATTCTCAGCTTGTGCTAAGAACACCTGGGCCCAAGAAAACTTGTCCAGAACACAAAATCTGTTGAGCTTTGTCTAGGCATCCCCAGAGATAGAACTCTTAGGGAATGTATCCTAGAAAAGGATGTCTCACACGTCACTCAAAAGCGAACTCGTGTCTTCCACACGGTCCCCTGATGGCTCCATTCAGTGTGGCTGGAGTTTTAGAGCAGCTGCTTAGCCAGTGCCAATGCCTGGGCGTCCCGTGTGGGGCAGAACCACTCTGTGAACAGCAGCACTAGGACGCTCTGGAGCCATCTGCCTGCGTTCCAACTCCAGCTTGTCACTTCCTGTGCTGGACACACACATAATCTCTTTGATCCTCCATTTCCTTATGTGTAAGAGGGGGCTAGTAATTGGATTTGTCTTATAGGGTTTCTATGTGGATTAAAGGGGTTAATCCATGCAAAGGGCTTAGAATAGCACTGGACGTGGGACTGACCAGTAAGTGACAGCCCTTATTACTGACTAAACTTCCCACACTTCAGAGACAGCAGCTTATAGAAAACAACACTGCTATTCAACATAACACTTTCCCATTCTAATTTCATGTGAAAAGCTATACAGTAAAGTTTTAGGAGTAATCATAATTAATTTTGCAAAGATCCCAATGGGAATGTTAGGCGCAAGTGTCTGGATGGTGCTACTACTGATAAAACTTTCATGTATGTGACATTTAAGAAATCTATCCCTTCTTTTTATTTAAAAAATTCTCTTTGAGTTAGAAATAGAAAAGCAAAGTCTTTGAGAAAACAGTCTTTCTAGGAAACCTACTCAAATTTTCCTTCGATCTGGGATTTACACTAATTTTTTTCCTTTATAAATATTTTTATAGCCTGACTAGGACTCTTGTTTCCAGACCCTTATCCTCATCCTGGTTAAGAGAGGTCTCAAAAAGTTCATGGAGGGAACCAGCAGTTAGCATAATGGCTATGTCGCTGGACTCCCACGTAGTCGACCGCGGTTCATGTCCTGGACCCGGTGGCTTAAAACTCACTCCGGGCGCGTGTGCGTGCGTGCCCAAGATCCCGAGAGCAGAATGGAGGAGAAGGGATTGCGGCGTGACCATCCCCCCGGGGGTGATTTCTCGCTTTCTGTCTCTATGTCTCTCTCTGTCTGTCTGGCGAGCGCACGCGCCTTATAGTGAAAACCTCTCCAAAAAAAAAAAGTTCATGGAAACATGTGTATTATGAAAAAACTATGCATGAATTGCAAAAAGGTTTTGCACCAAAATAATCTTGTACTTTAATTCCTTTAAATGTACTTTAATGACCTTTTTTGCTTACTTTTTAAGGTTTTTGACATATGGCATGTGCATTTGCCAGAGAGATACAGAGAGAGGAAAAGTGAGAAATCACCCTCAAGGTGAATGGTCACATCACAATCCCTTCTCTTCAGTTCTCCAATTGGGATTTTGGGCACACATGCACATGTGCCTGGTGTGAGTTTTCAAGGGTCTGGGACTCAAACCACGGTCAGCCATGGAGGAGTCCAGCACCTTAACCACCATGCCACCTCCTGGCCCCTCCACAAACTTTCTCATCGTATTAGCAGTGGAGGAGACTCCTGATGTGTCACTAGAGAACTACAAACTGAGGAACGTTGCTTTAGTATTCACGAGTAAACAGAACCCTGACTAGAGCCTGCTGCCATCATTTTATGTCATTTTAATCTTTCTAGTAGCTACATTTTAACATGTAAAAAGAAAGAGGTGATATTGATTTCAAACACATAAATTTTATGTAACCCATTCAATCTTCAGATATTGTTGCTTCAATATATAGTCAACGTAAATATTAAGGTGATGTTTTAACATGACTAAGCCTTCCAAATCTGGCCCATATTTGCACATCTCAGTATGCCTGTCAGTGCGTCTCAGTTTGGTCTAGTCATGTTTCAACAGCTCACAGTCACAAATGGCTAGAGACTATCACAATGGAGGGTACATCCCTAAAAGAGGACAATTCCCAGAGTTTTCCTATGAACGAGGATTACAGAACAAAATTTTAAAAATTAGAAAAGAAGAACAAAGAGGAGAAACTAGAATGTATATTAGCGAGTTTAAATGATGAGCAGCACAGAATATTGATTTACCTCTCTGTCCAAGGTAATACTGGTTGTGTAAATCTCCCCTGTATCTTTGTTTAGGTAGAACACTGGGGGATAGGCAGGCTCCTGAGATACGATTCTATAGGAGATTTTGGAATTCATAGTATTGGGCTCGTCTGCATCTGTTGCATTGATTTTCATCACAAGTGTATCTGGCATTAGAAATAAAGACAAAAGTCAACTTTCAGCACACTTATGTATTTTACTTTATAATTTTACCTTGTCTCCCCAGAAGATTTTAAGTACTTATCACATACAACTTACTAAGATAAAACTTTTAACTAGATGAGGAAGTAAGTGTGAAAGGAGTAGGAAAAAAGAGATGACGGCAGGGTTGAGGTTAGAGGGAAGTCAAGTTCTGAAAAACTGCTACAAGAGGGCCAGCAATAACATTTACTAGTTCTGATAGCCATTACGAAGAAAGATTCAGGAGCAAATACATGACCCTGATGTTTGTGAAGAAGCATTGCTATTCTTATGATATGATGGAGAGAACTCTCCCCGTGGATCTTTTTTTAGACATTTTTGCCTTTTAGTGTGTGCTCTCGCCAGAGAGAAAGACAGAGACAGTGAGAGGGAAAGTGAGAAATCATGCCCGAAGGCTATGCCACAATCCCTTCTACATTCTCCTCCCAGGGTCTCAGGCATGCGTGCACATAAATATACCTGTCATGATTTTCAAGTCACCGTGTCTGGAACTCAAACTATGGTTGGCCATGTGGGAGTCCAGTGACATGCTATGCGGTCTGCTGGCCTCTCCTATGTATATTTATACAGGGCACTATATTGAACAATATTGTCAATAAATCCTACATTAGAACTAATGCCAATTAGGGACCAGCAAATGGCATAATTGTTACATTAGTGGACCACAATTCAAGACCTGTACTTGGTGGCTCAAAACTCATGCTCGATATGTATGAATGCATGCCCAACATCCCAGGAAGAAAGGATTGTGGTGTGGCCAACCCTCCTGGGGAGTGATTTCTTGCTTTCTTTCTCCTTACCTCTCTCTGTCTCTCCGACAAGCGCACATATCTTATAGCAAAAATCTCTCTCAAAAAAAGGAGAAAGAATGTAAATGAGAGGTCAGCAGACTACATCCAATGGGTCAAAGCCAGACAGCCATCGGTTTCTTTATGTAATGAAAACATAAAAAATATGAAGGTGATGTTTTTACATTTTGTTTGAATGTTTTTAGTAAAGTGTTATTGGAGCTCAGGCACACACAATTGTTCACACAGGGAGACCTTACCTGTCACATCTACCTACCATGGTCTGCTCTAACAATAAAAAAGAAGCATGTGAAGTCCTTCGAGCTTATAGAAAAGGAGTTCCAAACTCAGAACAGTAACATTTATTTCTATTTGTACTGTCAGTAACGTTCAACTGCCATTAAGATATGGAATTCAGTGTCTATACAATGGAGATACAATGACTGGCGGGTGTTCATTCATAAAAAACGGACTCTTACGTGCAGCACTCAGCTCTTCAATGGACCCAACGAAGACGTCCTGTGTGAATACCGGCTCATTGTCATTGATGTCTAGAACTTTAATGCGCAGTTCTAATGGTTTCTCTAGGTTGTTTCCTCTTTCATCCAAAGCATAACCTATCAGCTGAAATCATGACATAAATAATAAGTAAGATTACATTTAAACTAAGGTCACTATGATAACATAAAAAAGAATAAAACATACTAAAACTATTACTGAAGAAAAACTACAAATATGTTTGTAAAACTGTTCTTTTTACCAGAAAAAATGGTGTTTCCTCTCGATCAAGAATGCTTGTAACGTTCAATTCTCCAGTGTCTTTATTGAAGACAAATACACCAAAAGGTGGCTCTGTGATCCCTTTCCCGGTGTATTTGTATGTGATTTTGAATCCTTTTTCTTCTGCAATATCAGAATGTATCTAACATAAAAATAAGAGGAGCATGCTTTAAGTTAAACAAGATTTAAATATTAAGATATCTTTTGTATTGTTAACGGGCTTCTATAATTTATATGTACATTTTTTTAAAAAAAAGTTTTCACCATTGGGTGCATATGCTTGCTGGAGAGAGAGACAGTGAGGGGGCAAGTGAGAAATTACTCCCCAGGGGGGACGGCCATGCTGCAATCCCTTCTTCTCCTGGGATTTTGGTCATGCACATACACACACACACCTGCTGTGAGTTTCAGGCCACCAGATCTGGGACTCGAACTGCAGTTGGTCATGTGGGAGTCCAGTGTCTTTAACCATCATGCCACCTTCTGGTCCTTATATGTAAATATTTTTCATGGACATATTCCTCTTGCCCCATCAGGACAAGTTGTCATGATGCTGGCAGGTGGGAGGTGCCATAGCTCAACGGCTCAGGAGGACATGGGCTGTGACGGAGAACCTGGGTTCTACTCCCACCCAGGGCATGCACTAGGCATGTGGTACTAAGATTCTAAGCCTCCCTATGCCTCAATTTTCTCATCTGTAAAATGGAGAAGATGATACTGTGTATCTTTTAGTGCTGCCGTAACATTAAGATATAGCCAGGGTACACCTTGGAGAGTTAACAAGAGTGAAGGCAGGGAGACAAAGTGGGAGGCTCTTTTGATGGTTCAGGTCAGAGATGACAGTGACCTGGCTAGGAGAAAGACAGTGAAGAGAAATGGGCAGATTTGGAATATATTTTGGGGATAGAACTCATAGTATTAGCTACATTTTTGGCTTAAAAATTGCATAGAATTACAGTGCTATTTACAGGAATGGATAGAATTTATGGGGAACAGCTTTAGCAGAAAAAAAAAAGGGTTCAGTTTTGTTCATGATAACTTTGAGATATATAGTAGAATTACCACATAATTTATCAAAAGAACTGGACGCCTTGGAAGTGAAGGGGAACTATTAATTATTAATCCAGGACAATAGCCATAAATCACGACTGTCCCAGGCAAAAGAAGACAAATAGTCACTCTACTTACTAGACATCAGTTCTTTCCATTTTGAAAACTATTTATGATAATATCCTTTTTTCCAGAATTGTAATATTCTCATGTTAAATAAATATTAAACTAGTGCCAGAGCTCTCACCTCCTGACTGAATCAAAACCCATAGTTATATGTATTTTTGCTAATGATCCTGCAACTTCCAGAATTAAAAAGAGGATCTTAAAGCTGGGCACTTTCTACTAAAAAGTAAACTCGGCTAATTTTCAAATATGTTGTGGATGCTAAAAAATTTAGTCAGTACATGATATGGTTTTCCTTAAATGCAAAGTAAAGATAGAAGTCTTTCCATACCATGTTTTAATTACATGCATATGTTTTACCCTCCTCTTTAAACAGTACCTTGGCAATTGGATTCTTCTTGGACAGATCCTCTCCTTCCCGAAGAGCCACGGGGGCAGTGATCCAGGCCCGTTTCTGCCTTACTAAATGAGTGTGTTTAGGATGCAGCTTATTTTCATGTCTTAGGTTTAAGGCCTACAATAAAACATTGCCAAAAATTTAGTATATATCATAAAACATTAGTATGGCGTCCTATAATTTGCTGAACTGTCACATAGTACACATTTGAAGATACATTTTGTATTTCTTAACAGACTTCGTCTTCAAAGAGGAAATGCATATATTGTAGTAAACTTTATAGACATTCAAAAGACTGTCTCCAAAACAGTAAAACGGCAAGCTTTCATTTTTAACAGAGTTCTCAGACTAAATTGTTCAAAAAAATCAAAGAATAATTTTTGTGGCCTTACAAATTGGCAAATAACAATCCATGTTAATTTTTTTTAACTAATTGAAGTTTCAATTTCCTATCATTTTACTAACTTTATTACTCTGTATAATATGTATTTTATGTCAAAATATTTATGCTGGTCATCACTGGGTCACTGGTTTGTTTTTACTTGAAAAAAATTCTCTAGAACTTACAAAAATTAAATTATGTAATGAAGCATTAAAAGTAATAGAATTAAAGTTTAAAATGTTAAATTTCTCTATTTTTTTTCACTCATACTTCAGAGAATTTACTGTCAAAAACATAATGAGTATCTTTAATGATCTTTTCTTATGGTCTTATATTTGCACATTTATACACAGATGTATCAAGGTCTTTTTCCTTTAAAAATAAATATATCTTATTTTGCTCCTAAATTTCTCATTTATACTCCATCATAAGCATTCTTCCATGTACCATAAGTTGTTTTACTATTCTGCTATAGATAGATATTTAGATTATTAAAAAAATACTACACTAAACATTCTCTGATATATATTCCTCTGTGCTTATTTGAATGGGAATTTGAATGACTGGGTCTAAGGCAATGTGCATTTTTTTTTTAAGGTTTTTGCCATATTGCATGTGCACTAGCCAAAGACAGAGAGACAGAGAGAAAATGAGCAATCACACCCCTTAAGGGGATGGCTACACCACAGTCCTATCTCTTCCATTCTCCTCCTGGGATTTTGGGCACATATACACACGCATGCAGTGTGACTTTCAATCCGCCAGGTCCGGGACTCAAACTATGGTTGGGCATGTGGGAATCCAAGACCTTACTCACCGCCCACTGGCACTAGGTGATGTGCATTTTAATCTGGGAAAGCACAGCTAAACTATCTGACAGAAAGTCTGCTTCTGAACCCCAAAGACAGAAATAATACCCTGGTTTCTTACCTCTAGGTGAAGTCCATTCCCAAAGTTAAAGCAGATCTGTAAAAGAAAATAATTTATATGATGTTAAATATAATTTGAAACTCAATTCAGTTTTTTTGTTCCTTTCTTTTTTTGGAGAGGTTTTTGCTATAGGGCATGTGCGCTTGCCAGAAAGACAGAGAGAGCTAGAAAGCGAGAAATCACCCCCCCAAGGGGGATGGTCACGCCACAATCCCTTCTCCTCCGTTCTCCTCTGGGGATCTTGGGCACACATGCACACACGCCTGGCGTGAATTTAAGCCACTGGATCCAGGACTGGAACCGTGGTTGACTACATGGGAGTCCAGCGACAGCCATTACACTAACTGCTGGTTCCTCAATTCAGTTTAAAATAACTGATAATGAATAACCTACTGTAATTTACTAAACTTTCACACAGTACAAATCTTAAGGTACATTTTATATTTCTTAACAGATTAGGGTATTATTTTTACAAAAAGATGTTTAACCACCTCTGCTATCCTTTGTCAAAAGGGAATGAATTTTGATTTCCCCCTATTCTTCTGCCATCAACCCAGGGCCAAAGGGAGGAATTTACATTCTCCTGATCCACACTGCCTCCTTCAGAAAATGATTATCACAGAAAACAAATAATTTGCCTCATGACTTTCCAGTCACTTCCTGGTCCTTTTCTCACCTCAGGTTTCGGTTTCATGTTCTCCAGGAATCCCTGCCTTTCCTTAAGGCCGCTGGTGCGAGATGTGCCTCCCAGGAGCTCCCTGCGCCCCCATCTCATCACCCCGACAGGTCACACCCACAAGCGATTGCCCAGATTATACTGTTCGAGTCCTCAACATGCTCTGTGCCACCAACTCTTTTCTCTGGTGCTTTCTAGGCACTGTTACACTCTGGACTTCTCATTACATAGCATTGTTCTAAATACTCATGTTTAACGACCTACCGCTAGGGGCCGCTGCTGGACAGTGCGGACAGAGACCACGTCCATCATTGCAGACAGCTCTGGCGCACAGTGCTAAGTAGCTATTGCCAGCTATTTCAAAGACAATGTCAGTGACGGTCATAGACCTTTTCTTGACTCTCTGATATTTCTGCCTCACCTTTTCCCCTAACTCTGTAAATCTATTATTCTCTTTGATTCTGACCCTCTATTGGCCACATTGCTAGAGCAAGCCACAGTGGTTGAATGGTCCAACGCACACTCATGCTCCCTCCCCTGGGTGGGTAGATGCTTTCTAGGGTGACAATATGTCTACACTTTCCCAGGAGAGTCCAGGTTGGCACGTGTTTTGTGCAAGCATCTCATCTGTCAGCATTTCTTTTATCCTCAAAAGTGCACTCATTCAGACTATGAGTTATAGTTACTTTATCTTTGTCTCGCCCTTACCGTATTCCTAAAATAAGCATCGCAAACTTCAGTACGTCGCCCCAATCACACTGACACCTCCATGCCTACTTACTCCTGAGATGACCCCATATTATTTGACTGACACTGTATCATCAGTCATCCTCTTCTTACTTTCACTATGCAGGAGTTATCCTGACTCCTTCCCAGAGTTAATCAGCATTTGTGTGCTTTATTTTCAATTCTTCTACGTGTTCTCTCACACTTATTTCCTCAAGAACATCAACCCTTCCAATAATCTTTCTCTTCCTTCTCCACTGACTAATGACACATTTATCTCCTTCCCATTGGCTAGTCAAAGATATGAAGGGACTTCGAAAATTCATGAAAAGTGCAGTGACAGTTTGAGGGTTTTTTTGTTTCGATTATTTATTTTTCAATTTCTTTTATTTATTTATTTTTTGACAGTTTGAGATTTTTGGTGCAAAATATTTTTGAAATCTATGCACATTTACCATAATATATATTTCCATTTCCATGAACTTTTTGAAGACAACTTGTATTTAGATATTCCTTACCTTAAAACAAAATTCTCCCTTGTTTCTGTTAACACTTAGTCTACTGTTTTATATCACTCTCTGACTATAATTACAAACTGGAAATACTGTCTCTTCCATTGTCTTCATGTCCCTACCTTTCACTTAATGCATTACGTCAAGGAATCTGTCTTTAATTTGGATTTTTTTTTTTTTTCTGGAGAGGTTTTTGCTATAGGGTGTGTGCACTTGCCAGACAGAGAGAGACAGAAAGCAAGAAATCACCACCCCCAGGGGGATGGCCACACCGCAATCCCTTCTCCTCCATGGGATCTTAGGCATGCACGCACACGTGCCTGGTGTGAATTTTAAGCCACCTGGTCCGGGACGTGAACCTCGGTTGACTACCTGGGAGTACAGTGACATAGCCATTACACTAACTGCTGGTCCCGATTTGGATTTTCTTTGATTTGGCCCTCATGTCAGATTAAAGATTTAAATGGAAAATCCTAAACCACAAAACTGCTTGAGTAAAACACAAAGGAAACATTTCAAGATATTGGAAAAGGCAAATATTTCTGAAATCAGACTCCTAAAGCATGGGTAACAATACCAAAAACAGTGTGATTACATCGAGCTTGAAGGCTTTATGCACATTAAAAAAAGGACATAACCCAATAAATAAAGATATAACCCCCAAAATATATGCAAACTGTACTTTGGATAGGGATTAATAACCAGAATATATAAGGAGTTCATCTGCAAAAACTCTCCCCAAACCAAAACCAAACAACACACTATAACCCTAATAATCCAATAAAAAAGTGGACTATTGATTTAAATAGACAATTATCAAAGGAAAACATACAAATGGCTAAAAAAAAAAGGAAAGAAAAAAATGTCCAGAGGACAGCAGGTGGTATGGTAGTTAAGGCACTGGACTCCCATATGGCCAACCACAGTTTGAGCTCTGGACCCCGTAGCTTGAAAATCATGCTAAGTGCATGTGTGTGCACTCAAAATCCTGAGAGGAGAATGAAGGAGAAGGGGTTGTGGAATGGCCATCCCCTGGGGGGGGTGATTTTTCACTTTCTCTCTATCTCTTTTTGGAAAGTGCACACGCTCTATGGCAAAAACATTTAAAAAAATCAGCCTCTCTTGTCACAAGGGAAATACAAACCAAAACCTCAGTGAGATGTCACCTAACCCCAGTCAGACTGGCTGCGACCACAAAAACAAACAATAACAAGTGCTAGCAAGCTTGTAGATAAAAGGAAACCCTCTTGTTGGAGGCACTATATTTGGTACAATCGCTGTGGAAAACAGTATGGTGTTTCCCTGCAAACCTAAAAATAGAATTTCCATATGATCTAATCATCACACTGTTGGGTATTTATCCAAAAAAAAAAAAAAAAAAGGATATCGGTTTGTTGGAGAGGCACTAGCACATCCACATAATTGTGCATTATTCAAATTATCTAAGACAAGGGATCAGCATAAGCGCCCCACAACTAATGAATGGATTAAGATAATGTGGCGTAAATACACAATGGAACACCACTCAGTCATACAGAACAAGGACATCCTGTGGATGAACCTAGAAGATATATTACTAAGTGAAATAAGTCAATCTATGAAGGACAAATACTCTATGTCCTTGCTTAACATATCCTGAACGTCTGTACTGTGTGGAAGAAACGGAAGAACTCAATGGCCCAGAAGCAGAGAGAGTAAGGGCAGATACCCAGCGCATGGGGTGGGGGTAAGATTCAGGAGAAAATGACACACAGCAGAGTAAAAAAGTCATTGATGATATATATTTCCCCAAAAACAAACAAATGGGGAACCAGCAGTTAGCATAATGGCTATGTCGCTGGACTCCCACGTAGTAGACCGTGGTTCGTGTCCCGGACCCGGTGGCTTAAAACTCACGCCGGGCGCGTGTGCGTGCGTGCCCAAGATCCCGAGAGGAGAATGGAGGAGAAGGGATTGCGGCGTGACCATCCTCCCTGGGGGGTGATTTCTCGCTTTCTGTCTCTCTGTCTCTCTCTGTCTGTCTGGCAAGCGCACGCGCCCTACAGTGAAAATCTCTAAAAACAAAACAAAACAAAACAAAACAAAACACCGAACAAATGAACAAACGCAAGCTGGTAGAGCTATTACCAAATGTGTATAACATAACGCAATGTTCAATGTTGACTTAGGTAAATGTCTATATCCTCGATATGATGATTATACGTTGTACGCATGTTTGAAAAAACATGTAACCCACAAAGATGTACGATGACTATATTTACACCAAAAATTATCAGTGCACAAACACTTTAGACCAGTGGTTCTCGACTGAGGAGTAGTTTGCCCTGCCACCCCTCCTCACCCCTACTAGGGATATTTGGTAATGTTCGGGGGCATTTGGGGTTGTTAAACCAGGGGATGGAGTGTAGATGAGTGCTGCTGCCATCTAGTGGGTAGAGACTGGGGATGCTGCTCAGCATCCTGTTGCACAATGCCCAGGACAGCCCCCACAACAAAGCACTGTCGGCTCCAAATGGTGAAGTGCCAAGGGTGAGAAATCTTGACCATGTTCCTGTGTTTGGAATCTACTGTAGTAACTATGGTGTGGTGGTCATACGAATTCCAAAGGATCACGGAGATTATGTACATTCGCAGGCACTATAAATGGAATAAGCGAATGCTCTGTATCTGTCTTCTACTCCTACTCCCTGGCACTGTTTTTATTTTTTCCCCTTTACTTTTTCTATAGACAGGGTATCACTATAGTGTCCAGGCTGGTCTTGAACAGGCAGTGATCCTCCTGCTTGGCCTCCTGAGTAGCTGGGATTACACTGCGTGTGCCTCTTTACTCTGTAAGAGCGCCTTCCTGTGGGGATGTAGACAATGGTTTCAAACACTAGAACGCTGACTAAGATTATGGTATTGGTTTCTCACAACTACAAACTCCGTGACCTTTTCTTTCTTACAAGGAACTTGGGGAGAGAAAAACATCATGTGCAACATGCCTTTAAAACTAAAGAGGAAGGCTAGCACAGTGGTGGTGGTGAAGTCACTGGACTCCCACATGGCCGACCACAGTTTGAGTCCCAGACCTGGCAGCTTGTTTTCTCACTTCTTCTCCCTCTCTCTTTTTCTTTCTCTCT